ACTTAGGAGGGAAGAGTCAGGGTTCCTGTGCAAATGGCAAAGAAAAGGTGTACAGAGGCCAACACGCCAACAGCGCACACCTAAGAAGGGGGGACAGAGAGTGGGGTAAAAAGAGGATTCTTGCTCCTGTTTTCTGCTGTGTATACTTCATTGAAAGCTTTATTTTTTGGATTATACACACATTTTGGTAATAAAAACTTTAAAATTCATATTATTTTATTTTAAAGTAAAATAACATGAATTTATTTAAAAATGACAAAACAACAAATTAATGCCTACATCTGGAGGAGTAAAAGCTAATCAGTCCATTGCCCCTATCGAATCTGGTACAGTGTTTTGTTGAAGATAATAATTACTCGCTGCTGCAGAGGGCATGGGGGATTAGCATCCACACGTTGTGGAAGGGGAATCTGAATTAGAAGCACCTTTTTGTTAAGCAATTTGCTAAACAGGGATTTTTGTCTTGTTCAAATCTAAAAATGACCCCAAGACCTAGAATGATGCCTGGGACAGAGGAAGCACTCACGTGTTTATTGAATAATGAAAAAATGTGTGTGTGCGTTGGGTATGGCGCATACAAACAGAACAAGATGAGAAGTGAATTCCACAAAAATGAGAACATAAGTGCTTGGAACTATGGATGTTCTTCCCACCCTGACCTTTTCACTTTACTACAGATAACATTTGATAAGCAGGGGAAAAAAAAAGAGACCAAAAAAAGTTCATCAGTCTCTACTTTAAATGTCAAGTATAAACCCAATACTGTACACTTAACTCATCCATTGGCTTTCTTTTTATTTCACTAACCATATTTTTCTTCTTTTGTTTTGAGACAGAGTCTTACTCTGTCACCGGACTAGAGTGCGGTGGTGCCATCATAGCTCACAGCAACCTCAGCCTCCAAAGTAGCTGGGACTATAGGCGTGCGTCACCATGCACAGCTAATTTTTCTATTTTTTGTAGAGACGGGGTCTCGCTCTTGCTCAGGCTGGTCTCCAACTCCTGACCTCAAGCGATTCTCCTGCCTTGGCTTCCCACAGTAGTAGGATTACAGGCCTGAGCCACTGTGCCCAGCCTATATTTTTCATTTTCTACAAGTTATATTGTTCTTTCAGAAATATGCACGTCCCTTCTTCATACTCTCCTGTTTTAGCATAATAGTTTCTTCTCCCTCTTTCGTCTTTTAAACAAACCTACTTTATAGTTTCAGAATATTCTATTATTTCTAGTCCTTTGGGTCTTGATTCCCTCTATGTTGTGTATGCCGACCCTCCCTCCCACAGAACTTCCCTTTACAGCATAAAGTGTTCTATTGTGAGCTCATCATTTCTTAGGGAGTGTTTATTATTTATTATTATGGGAGTCTTACATGTCCTGAGCTGTGAAAGCCTCCCATGGGGTGGTTTTGCATTTACTTTGGCAGTAACGGGAGTTTGCCAGTCCAGCATCAGGTTCATGTTAATTTCTAGACGCCACAGGAGGAGAACACCTGGAGCTCTACCCCATGTGTGCTGCTCCTTTGGGTTTCAACCCCAGAGGAGTGATGTTTTCCCTCACAGAGCTCTGAAAAGCCAGTAAGTATACGAAGCCCCAGCTTCCCTACCTCCCTGCCACCGCCCCTCCGCTCAAGTGAATATAGTTTTTCTAGTCCCGTTTTCATGGATGGCCCCAGTTTTGCACAAAGACTCAATTCCAGCCTCCTGTCTTGTGAGGCTGAGGCCACATGGACATTCTCATTTGGATAATAAATACTCCCCTGCCCCTTGGCCTACTGATGGGTCTGCTCCTGCTTCACGCTCTGTTTGTTTCTTCTCTGTCTAGTACCTGGAATTTTCTTTCCTATCTTTCAAGCTCATTTATATACTTAAGATTTGTTGTTTTTTTTTCTTTTTCCCTCCTGTTGTCCATCAACTTAATCTGCAATATTGCAAGAAGTCTCTGGAGACATTCAATATTTGCATTTTAGAGTAAGTGACATTAACAGGGACTACTTTATTACAAAACTTTTTTAATCAATTAGACCATTAACTAAAATCCCTAACCATGAGAGAATTACAAATTTGGGCACAGTTATCAGGAACAATAAAGTTTTAAAACAGGGGGAACAAGGTAGTAGACCTAGGATATCAAAAAACTCCATTTAACAGGATTTAGAAAACAGAGAAACACACGCCTGTAATCCTAGCTCTCTGGGAGGCCGAGGCGGGCGGATTGTTTGAGCTCAGGAGTTCGAGACCAGCCTTAGCAAGAGCGAGACCCC